TGGCTCAGTGGGTTAAAGCCTCTGCCTTCGGCTTGGGTCATGATCCCAGGGTCCTGGAATCGAGCCCTGCATCGGGCTCTCTGCTCGGTGGGGAGCCTGCTTCTTCCTCTCTCTCTGCCTGCCTCTCTGCCTACTTGTGATCTCTCTCTGTCAAATAAATAAAATCTTAAAAAAAAAACACCTCAGGGTTTTACCCTTGAAGGGACACAACTGGTTTGCTACCTGAAGCTGGGTCCCCTGAATTGCAATTCTAAGACCCCACACAAATGCCTTTGTTTTATTTCAGTTCGCCCTTTTTCCTCTCAATAGGGGCGGTTGCTGCCCTACTTTCTCTTTTCTGAAAATTCTAAAACTTCCTCCTTGGCCCCTAACATCTTTGCCTCAGAAGTCAAAGACATTTGAAGTTCTTTACAATAGGGCAATCGAGGACTTCGTAGACATTCTCACTTTTCAAACTTCCATTCCCCTGGCCCAGGTTCCATGTCTTAGTGCTCGGGAAAGGAATGGAGGATCCCCCAGCCTCCCAGGCCCCATTCCCCAGCACCACTGCCCTGACCCTGTCATGGGGATGTCTGCGCCCCACGGCCCATCACAGACTGCATCCCCAAGAAGAGAATGGGCCTCAGGCCCCTTGCACTGCTTCCCTGAAGGAAGACGCTGGCCTCGAGGCCAGATTCTCCAAACCCGCTCCCCACACGCACCAGCCATGCAGACCCTCAGGAGGTGGCTCCTGCCAGGCCCCTCCCCACAGCCCAGCAAACAAGAGAGACACCCCCCCACCCCCGGGTTTCTTTCAGCTCATTTCTTTAATAAGGAGACGCAGCTCATTACAAAATAACATTTGACAAGAGATCAGACAAGAACAACAGAGTCCACATAAGGGGGGTGTGGAGAGCATTGCCAAGCAGAGGAGGTGGGGGGGCGAGGGCTTGGGGCGAGAGCTACACATGTGTCCTTCTTATGAAGACAAAGGCAGGGTTCCTGGCAGGGCCGATGCATTCCAGCGGTGACCTGAGGCAGGCTAGGGTCTGCCCCGCCGGTTTTGAAGTTTTCAGATCCCTGGGATTTCAGAAGCAGCAAATCAAGTCCTTAGAGGGGGAGGAGTCAGGGCAGAACAGTCAAGCTTCTTTGAAGAGGGTCCTCCCCGAGTCCTGATGGCTGAGGAGGGCTGGGTGGAGAGACCCCCGACCCCATGCACCCTGCTCTGCCACTCCACCAGGCCGGACCCCCTCAGCTCCCGGCATTGCTGTTTGCGGTGGGTGGGGAGAGCGGGAGGTTCCCAGAGAGCACTAGCGGGAGGCTGGGTTCGTCTTCCCTCCTCCAAGCTCGGGATCCCAGCCCACCCGGAGACGGTCCCCAGCACCAAGATCCCTGGGACTTCTGTGTGCTCACGAGTCATGGTTTGTGAAGGGCAGAGCCCACCTCACCGCCTTTGGCCTTGTTGTCAGGTTTTTGTCTCTCTTCTCCCTCACGCTTACTGGTTTTCATGCCTCAGGCCTCCTGGCATTATCCGCATGAGTCGTCTGCCCTTGTCAGTGCCCTTGGGGGCAGGACCTGCAGGCTGGGAGCTATGTGCCTGTCCTGGTACAACATAGTGACGTGGGACCTGCAGAGCCCCCAGCCCCCCACCCCAATTCTCTACCACAGGATGCTCCTGGCTGGGGCTGCCCTAGAGAGCTGACCAGAGGGTCTGCAGGCCACAGGCCACCCGCTCTTGGGCGCTGTCAGCCTGCAGGAGGGAGCATGGTGGGAAGAGGCCCACCCACGGCGTTCTCCAGTGTACCCCCCAGAGGCCCTCCCCCATTGCCACCCACAGCCCCTGAGCCCACAGGGTCACAGAAGCAGGGCTGCTTCTGTCAAGCCCGGATGGTGATGGGAACCTGAGCTGCTGACTAGCTGCTCCTGAAAATCCTGGTGGCCTCCTCAGTGCCCTTTGAGAATGTACCCAACACTATGGTATCCCCGCCACTGCCCCGTCCACGCACGGGATGGAGATGGAGCTGGACTATCAAATCCAGGTGAAGGAGCCCACTCGGGCAGGGCCAGCCGGGACGCCTCCTGGGACTCGGCCAGAACCCCTGGACGCCATCTGTCCTCATGACACGGGGCTGAGAGCGGGAGGGGTGACAACAGGTGAGCCCTTCACAAGTGTTCTGTGGGGAGCCAGTCAGAGGGATACGGGGGGCTCCTGGGAGGAACCAAGGGCAGTCTCCTGCAGGAGGCCCCCTTTATGGCTTTTCAGTTAATTCATACAGTGGGAGGAAGGGGCACACCACATACACACACACACACGGGGCACAGAAGCTACTGGGACAGCAGACACCAGGCTGGACACAGCGCTCAGTACACTGAGGGTCAGCTCGGAGACGGATGTGCAGCAGGCGGTGGGGACGGGCCTTCGGGGCACCAGGGGTCCTCCCACATCCCCGAAGGGAGGGCTGCGGCTGGTGCCGGAAACCGGTGACCCCGGCCCGCGGCTCCCACTGGGGTATTCCTGATGGGGTGAGACAGGGTGGGGCTCGGGGACAAAGACTGGACATGACATAAAATCGAAGGGGCAGCCTCAACGAGGTGTGAAAAGTGGGATCGAGGTCAGGGGTCAGGGGTCGGGGGCACTCTCAGCATATGGCCATGCGGCTATTTACAGAAAGTCAGAGACATGCATGTTGGGTAAACAAGACTCGGTTCGTATGTTTATAGGTCACTATCTTCTTTTCTATCTAACTAAATGCACATGGAGGGGGTCATGAGGCTCAAATGGCTTCAGAAGGTTCTTGTTTTGTTGTCACTTAAAAAATAAAGTATATTCATGTGTCTTCAAGTCACAGTGTCCCCTTCTCAATATTGCAGCTCGAAAAGCAGGTTAAGTAAGATCCTCGGTGACCAGTCGTCTCTGGCCCCCTGGGACTGAGGGGGGAGGGGGGAAGTGGTCATAGAATGGGGTGTCAGATAAAACAGGATGGCCAGTTAAATTTGAATCTCAGATAAACAACAAATCACTCTTTGTATCGTATGTTCCAATTTTTGCCCAAGACATACACAGGCTTTAAAACTATGCATTGTTTATCCCAAATGCAAATCGAACTGGGTATCTTGCATTTTTATTTGCCAAATCTGACAACCATGTCGTGGGGCTCTGGGCCACCAAGGTCAGGCCTTGGGACTCTTCCCTGCCTGCCACCAGCCAGGGCTCTGAGAAATGACCCCCCGACCAGCCTCAGGTGGGAAGGGGGTGGAGGGTAAGGACAGAGTAGAGGGTAGGAGGGCAGGTCCCGGCTCAGTCTCTTCCTACCTTGGCGTGGAGGGACAATGGACAGCCTCTCTCAGTATATAGTTGGGTGAGACCAAGAATTAGCATACATTAGCATTCATGGAATCTCTCACTCCCAGCCCCAGGGGAGGTTTCAGAACCTCTCAGATCACCCACCACCAGCCCACTGCAAGGAGGCAGCACTTTGCACTCTCGGGGAGCTGGTTTTACCCACAGGAGGATTGCTGCAACCTCTCTCCTCTCTCTCACTGGAGCCCTGGGCCAGCAACATCAGCCCAAACTGATTTTGCAGAAACCTAGCTAAGTATGGTTTCCTGGGAAGAAAAAAAAAATCAGGATCTGAGGCTGTGCTCTAATCCCGGCTGGCCCATCCTCCAGCTGAGGGATCCCTGCAAAGGCACTTCTCGCTCATACCAAGCACCTGCTCACTCCCTGTCTGGGGCCGCCTGAGTGTCCTCTACCCTGCTTCCCCCAGACCTCAGCTTCCACTTTCCAAAGTCCAAAAATGTGCCCACGGCTCTGGCAGAGTTACCTTCCCTTCTGGAATGACTATTCAAGGAGAAAGGAGAGGACCAAGCTTTCTGGCCTCCCCCCAGTTCTGGGTGGGACTGGGTTTGGGTCTTTATGGTCTCAGTCCCTTTGGAAGAAAATCACTCCTATGCTATGTTCCTGTCTGCAATAGAATTTGGGCGTGAAAACGCACAGCCGCAGAGACCTCCAGAACCCCTCACTAGCCAGACCCTAACTCTGTCCTACTTAGGGCTTGCATCCCAGCATCCTAACATCCCCAGAAATAAACCTGCATGGCAGTGAGAGTTCAGAACAATGCTCCGTGCTTCGGGTAACATCATCTCTCAGGTGCGGAAAACTTACAAGCATAAGTATGTTTACCAGCCTAGTTCATAGACCTGGATAGAGGCCTTCGCTAGGATGGCTCATCTTGGCCAAGTGCCCATCCAAGGACCGGCAGGAACCTAGGCGGGTGGGAGGAATTGTTGCCCACACTCAGGTCTCTCCCTGGGTCACACTGGTGCCAACACCCAGTCTCTCGGCAACATGTCCCCACCCCTCAAGGCTGCTCACTAGAGGGGGGCCCAGAGTAACAAAATCCAGCCCCTGTCTTCTTTCTGGAACATTACCCAAACCACCAGAGGTACCCACCATTTCCTCTCCTCCCCATCAGGAGACTGGAAAATCTTGGGCTCTTGAAAGGCTAAATGAGGTTCATGGGCACAGGAGAATCTCAGGTGGTAGAAAGTACATCAGGAGAGGGCAAAAGAATGGAGGTAAGGAAGATGAGATCGACAGGGAGGTCCTATGAACAAGGATTGTGGGATAGAGCGGGGAGAGAGACCTGAGAAAGCACCAAAATCCCACAGCTCTGGGGATGGGTGAAGAGTCCAGTGACTTCGGATGTCCATACCAGGACATCCTACACTGCCGTCAGCCAGATTCTGAAGGCACCCTATTTTCCTACAACTCTCTACTATGACCACAACTCTGGTCCCAAGGTCCAAAGTTCACAGTCCTTGTCGGAGTCCTACCTTCTGATCATTGAGTACGCACCCACACTCACACAGGGTCCAGTAAAATACAATCTCCCATGTACCAAGGGCCACTAGCAAGAAGGAGAAGGGTCTCTGAGAGATGAACAAGGCTGAGCCCTGCTTCCCAGTCCGGAGGTGTTCCCTCGTCCCCAACTCTAAACAAAAAAGTTGGCATAGCAGAAACAAAAAACCCATCTTTCTTTTAACAAAATAAAAAGACACTCTGCATCTTCTTCATGTGGATCCTCAAAGCCTGATTTTCTCTAACACTGTCCATCTGTCTCAAGTACCTAGAGAAAGCTGAGGTGGCCCAGATGGGGCATGACAGGAAGTGCTGCCATTTTTGCCGGGAAAGAGAGAGATCCCCAAGGTTCTGAGGAAGCTGTGAGTATTCTGTGGCGAAGAGATGACAAGGGCCTCAGGGCTTCATGGATGGAAGAGAGAGGCTGAAGGCTGAAGGAAGGGAGGCAAGGATGGGAGGAAGGGGCGGAAGGAAGTGGCGCTGGCCTCAGGCCGTGTGGGGCCTAACTCTCTTACCCAGACTGAATGTTTGGAAGGAGTCTCAGTGCAAACTTGTCTAACATATATATGGCTTTTTATCAGTGTTGGGGACAAAATGTGAAGAAGGAATGGGACACAATGGAGCGTGGGGTAGAAACCCCCACAGCTGTCCTCCACCTCCCATTTGGAATGGATATCCTGCTTCTTGGCTTTCATAGAGAGAATCCTCCCTAAGAAATGGTAGGATGGGGCTCCCCACAGGTCTCCCTGGGCCACGCCAGCTACCCATAAGCTGTCTGGCATGGAAGGCAGAGGAGTGGGAGCTGGGGGGGAACCTCAGCACTCCCACCCATCTCATCCAGGAAATCTCTACCATCTGTCCACCATCCTCCCCCTTCTTACCTGGACCTCAAGGGAACTAAGAATACTTAAACCTTCCTTTTAAGAGTTCTCTGGCTCTGTACAGATAACAGTCTTCAGATAGCATTGCTCCACTTAGATTAAAAGAGAAAACAGAAGCAAAGGCATGATGGGGAATCAATGCAAATCAACCGCAGAGCTTATATTCTGGAAAGGGAGAAAGCATCTGTGTTTCCCACTGGAAGGGACTGAAGAGGATCCAGGAGTTTCATTTGGTCTTTCTAGGTAATGGGTCTTGTTTCTTCATAGTTTGATGTTAACTGTCAACAACAGTGAGATCCCAGGAGTGATGGTCCCTTGTTAGAGCCTGACCGATCTAGTAATAGTTCATGTCCATGAATGTCCCAGAAACCACACTTGTGGGGAAAACATGCCTGACAGGAGGAAGTCTATGATTGCATCAGGGGTTTGGTCCTAGTTCTGGACAAATCCAGTCTCCACATCTTGCCTCCCACACCCACCCACAAGGAGTATGGGAGTTTCTGGCATCTGGCCAGGATTCTGAGCCCTCTCCACGAGCTGACAGATCTCCCACTTAGACAGTGGACGTCTCTTCATTTCAGAGTCCTTGAAGAGCCTTCTCTTCCCACACAACTTGACTGTCCATGGCTCATTCCAGGAATGCAGAGAGATACTCAAACACATACACACACACGTACACACACACATGCACACAAACACACATACACATCGTAGGCCACTGTGTTGCCTTTCCTGTCAGGAAACAGGATGTGCTGCCATTTTGTTGGTCCAGAACGCTCAAAAAACAGGAAGTGCTGAGACTTTCTGCCAGAAGATGGCCTCACTCAGGTTGAGGCTTCAGAGAAGCTTTGAAGGAGTGAGAGGGAAACGTGACAGGGCATGCAGCAAGGACAGCTCCTGGGACGATGAAAAGAGCCAGGCTTCTCTTTCACCTGTTAGGGGACTCTCCTCACACAGCCTTCAGAGGGAAGTTGGTCTTTAAAAAGAGATGAAGGAAGGAAAAACAAGGACACAACCACAAACAAATGAGAAAGAAAACCTCTAAGGTCGCATAACTGAGGTATTGATAGCTCTGGATCTTGTCAGTGTCTGTCACGGCGCGGGCTCCCGGCCACTGCTGCCTACTTGTTCTTCCCCAGAAGCGCGTCCACCTCCTCCTCAGGCTTGAGTGAGTGCCACTGGGCGATGGGCCTCCGGGGGTTGGCCAGCATGTCGGACCAGTGCCGCAGCTCCGTGCCTGTGGCGTTGCTGCCCACGAAGATCTTGCCGATGGCTTCGTTCTTGCCCAGCTTGTCATAGTCCAGCACAGTGACCACCACCTGGACTTTCTGTGAGGAAACAAAGGAGGGAAGGAGTTGGCAGGTGAAAACGAGTGATCGTGTGACCGAACTTCTCCTCTTCCCTCCTCTACTCCAAATGCTTGGCAAGGAGAGCACCTTGCTTCCCTTTCTGGCTCCAAGAAGGCTGGACTTACACACAGGCAGGGGCTTCACCTTCTGGAAACAGCCTTTGTTTCTACCAATAGCTACTTACTGAGCACGTGCCATGCTCCGGCCACTGCTGAGGGCCAGGGGGTGGAGGGGGGTGAGGAAAAGGGAAAAGGCAACATCACCTCTAACGAAATCAGCAGACACGTACTCAGAAACATACAACTCAAAGTGATAAAGTTTAAGCTAGAGAGGTAAGTAGAAGGTACTATGGGAACACGGACAAGGTGACCGTCCTCCTCGGGTCAGTCAGGAAAGGCTTCACAGAGGTGACACAGATTCACTGGAGGGAGACTGGGCCTGGCTGGGGGGCTGCAGCAGGGTTGGGGGGGTGGGGCAGTGTGAATGGAAGCAGAGGCCAGACTGGAGAGGTGTTGAGTGGAGAGAATCAAGAGGACTTTGTGGGTCAGTTGGACTGACCGAGGGGACAATCAGTACCTTCCTCTGGCCTGGCCACCCCCCCCCCAGCTTCTCCACCCCTCCCCCATCTCAGGCTCATCCTTTAGGATCAAACTTGCTCCGGGGAGCCTCAGCTGAGTTGTTCACCGTGCTCTGCAGTCACACACACTGAAGCCCCATCTCCCTGTGTTTCGGTGGCCTGTTCCTGCGGTCCCTCCCGACTGTGAGGTCCTCGACAGTGAGGACTGTGTCTTCTACACCTGTGTTTCTCCAGCGCCTCACGAGTTCCTGGCACTTAGGGAATGCTCAGCGAAGTATGTTGGATAAATGAGGAAGGAAAGAAAAAGGGCAGATGATCTGAAATGATGCCCAGATCTCTCACTTACCAAGCTTGCTGGTAGGAGGAAGGAAGGAGAGAGCAGAGAAGGGAAGGATGGAGGGAAAGAGGGGAGAGGAAGGGGGCGGTAGGGGGAGCTGGGAGCAGACCTAGGGAGCAGCAGAAGTGGGGAAAGGACGACCAAGGCGGGAAGTGGCCGGGCCAGGAGGAGGCTGCCGCCCACCTCCTCGGCAGCTCAACCTCACCGGCCCATCGCACAGTCGGGTGCCCCCCACCCCGGGTAGAATCGTTTTGAGTAGTTCGTGTTCATCTCAGAAAAACTCTAGAAGGGGGCCTGGGAAGGAGATCCCAGGACGGCACCGTGAGAGCCAGAGCCCTCCCCGCCGATCGAGGCGGCTCCAGGTCTGCGGGTGAGCTCCCTCACGCCCCTCGAGGACACACCTGCCGCCCCCACCCGCCTGGGCCCCCGCGCCTGGAAACGCGAGCACCTGAATCTGCTCGAAGGGGATCTCAAAGCTGAAGGACTCGTTGAAGTAGGGGTTCAGCGTCTTCTTCTTCACCGTCGTCTTCTTCTTCTTGAGCCTCTTGCCGTTCTGCATCAGGTGGATCTTCACGTAGGGATCTGCGCAGGGAGAACCGCGGCCCCGGAGAGGCCCCCCTCAGCCCCCCACCCTCCCACCAAATGCCCTCGCCCCCCAGAGCGTCCCCGGGCCAGGGCCAGGCGTCCAGCAAGCCCGGAGGCACAGGTGGCTGAGTCCCAAGGAAGCAGAGTGAGTGTCTAGTTCAGGGACAGCAAGAAGGCTGCCCTGGGAGGACCAGCGCGGGCTGACTGGTTGTGGCCGCCTGGAGCATTGGATGTGGGCCATTCCTGAGACTAAGTAAGGCTTCATCCGGAAGGAGTGAAGCGGTCATGTGCTGCTCTCTGTCCTGGGCAGGGGACAGAAGCATGCCACAGGCACCACACACATCTGCCATCCCCGATTCAATCTAACCCTCCAGACCTTGCAGATGAGAAACTGAGCCCCACAGAAGGGAAATGACGTGCCCTCGGTCTCATGGCCGGTCTGTGACAGAGTGGGGGACTAGCTGCCAGGCCTGATTCCTGGCAAGGCGCCACAGAGACAGCATGCTCCCCTGTCCCAGCAGACCCCCTGCCACGGGCCAGTCCCACTCCAAGTGCTCCCCACCCCGCAGTCCCCTTCCAAGGTAGAGCCAGCAGGGCCACCCGTAGAGAAGTGTGCCAGGTGGTTGGTGACACGACAGAGAAACAAGCGCTGGCCTGCAACCTGTCCGCTTCCTACACCTCCCGGGGAGAAGTCATTAACTCATCTGGGAGATAAGACTCCAATCATTTCCTCCACAGCCCATACTGCCTGGCAGCTCAGAGTGGGGGCAGGGCACCCTTGGAGAAAGGAGGCGTCTCCTGTTGGAGAAACAGGCGTCTCCTGTTCCATGGTCCAGCCCCAGGACCCACTGCTGCTCAGACAGCCTCTGGTTCCAGGGACAGGAAAGAGTTCCTGAAACCAGTGCAGGAACGGAGGGCTCTGGGCTGTGACCGGCTCGCTGCTGCCACCCAATGGCAGCCAGAAGCCCTGCAAGTACCTGAAAGGCCACCCACGTCCATCTTCTTCAGGTTCTTGGCCTCCAAGATGCAGACAGTGAGTTTCCCGGCTGTGGGCACATAGCGCAGGGAGGTGCAGATGTCGCCCAGCTTCTCTGGCTGTCCAGGGGGAACAGCGGGACTCAGGGTCATCTCAGCCATCCTGCCACTTCTAGCATGGTTCACCCTCCTTTTGCCGAGACTGGCGAGACAGTGGTCCTCCCCAGCTCTCTCGGTCCCCAGTCCCCATCCCCATATCTGTGATCTTTGAGGTCTCCCAGCCTCCTGCTGCAGTTCAACGAAGCCCCTGAGAGTGGCGCTGCAGGAGCCATGGCCTCCAGAGTGAGAGGAGCAGAGCACAGGCTGTGGGTGATCATAGACTCGGGGTGCGGGGTGTGGCCCGGCTCCTACCCCAGGCCTAGGGGAGGTGGGAAGGAGTGGGTGTGGTAGACTGGAAAGGGTTCATTTCCAAGGACACTGGGAAACTGTCTCAGAAGTCTTCCTCCCTGATTCCTCCCGCCCTTGAGGCCGCTCTGGGTCAACCATTCCGCCTGAAGAGAGATCTGTGGTCTTCCAAGCACTTTGCATCCCCTTTCTTGGGTGACTGTCCCCAGAATGCTTTCACATAGATAAGTGGGGGTTCCTTGTGACCAGTGAGAGTTCCACAAAGTCCACAACAATTTAGCACTGGGGGCAGGGGGAGAGCCCAGTGCTGGTGGGTCCTAAGAGCTCTACCAACACCAGGCCAGAGTCGAGCTGCTCAGAGACGAGGTGCTCAGAGGGGCCCCAAGGGAAGGAAGGGTGTTGTAAGTGTCTCTTCTCACCTCCCCCCCATTACCACCCAGTACTGCACTGGGCACACAGCAAGGGCTTGGCTGAGACAAAGGACGGATGCTTGGAAGGAGCGGTGGCTAAAATGGAATGTTCGGCACAGGATATGGCACGCAGGTGCTTAATAAATGTTGGGTAAGTGACCAAGTGCCGTAGCAGTTGCTGGGAGGGCAAGCCCCCATGCTGAGAAGCTTTTATAATAAATGTGGGCTTTCCCTGGGGGTAAACTGAGGCACAAAGTCAGGAACACCCTGACCCTAATGACAGCAGAACCTCAGGAGTAAATTAACAATGGTGTTCTCCTTTACTTGAGCACCTACTAGATGCCAGATGTCTACTGGGTGCCAGGGGCATTACAGAAATAGGTAATTCTCACCTGCAAAAACACATTACAGGAGAGAAACCAGGTCTAAAGAGATTAAGTGATGTACCCAGGGTCACACAGCTCGGGCTGCAGAGCTGGGATCCTAACCCAGCCCACCCACTCTAAAGGCCTCCCTCTCCCTGTCGTGCCAGTAGGTGGCAACCCAGGTGGGCAGCCACATTCATCTTCCATCCGGTCTCTCCTCTCACCTCCTCCTTCTCCCCACCCTGCAGGTCTCTCCACTCCTCGATGGGCTGGCCAAGGTCCACGGTGTTCATAGGCACCTTTACCTCTCCGATAATGTCATGTTTGGAGAATCGGTCAAAGTCGTAGATGGCCATCACCAGGGTTTTGCCTCCTAGCTCCTGGTATGGCACCTGGAGGGCACAAGCAGGATCAGAGAGGGGTCAAAGCAACTCACACACCTCCAGGGGCGGCTGTGGGCGGGACCCTGGGTCTGAGCTCTACTCCCCCTAACCCAGGGGACTCCCGGCAAGTTTGTAGAGACAGAGAGACAACTTCGGGGTCTAGGGGAGAAGAGTGTGTGTGGGAAGGTGGGATGTCACCGTCCTACAGGAGCCTGAGTAGTGACCTCACCCATAAGCCCACAGTCCAACCTGCCATTGTTCCAGCCTGAGCTCATTCCAGGGCCTTAGGCACGGCCAAGGACCAAGGAAAGGTCTGAAGAACTGAAATGGAATTGGGATCAGGGAGGGAACTGGCATTATCCTTTCCGGCCGCATCACCTTGAAGGTGAAAGTTTCATTGAAGGCAGGGTTCAGGGTCTTCCGATGGACTTTGGTCTCGTATTTCTTCTTCTTGTCTGGAAGAAGGAAGACTTTGACATAAGGGTCTGAGGTGCCTCCCATGTCCAGGGCGGGCAATTCAGCAGCCTGCAGAACGCCGACGGTGAGCTGTGGAGAGAACGAGAGGGGCCCTGAGTCTCGGGACTGCTCCAACACCAGACGTGGCCCCGGACCCAGCACGCACCGACCCTTCTCCAGTGCTGGGCAGCTGGAGAGGCGGGAGCAGGCTGGTGCTAGAGAGGAAGACCGGTCTCCATCTCCACCCCAAGAACTTGGCATGACATCGGTGGAAGCCGGAGCTGAGAGGTTAACTGATTTGCCCAAGGTTGGTAGGCAAGTTCACGGCAGAGCCCATCCGAGCCAGGGAACCTTCTCTAGAGCACAGTGGTGGCCAAGGCAGTCTTGGGGTACATGCCTGTGGTTTCCAGCCCACCCCACTCCATGAAAAGGAGCAATGCCTATGGGCCGAGGAGGGAGTGAGGTGTGTGGGAGTGTGGAGCTGTTGCTATCCCCTTCCCACCCACATCGCAGCCCTCTGCCCCAGCCCCCACTTTACCCTCCAGCCAGGTCCTATACCTGGTTGGCCTGGAAATCATAATCCAGGGAAAACTGCAGTTTGCCCAGATTCTCTGGCTCTTTCTCTTCTTCTCCTTCACCTTCTCCCTCAGTCAGGCCGGTCTCTGCGTCGTCATCATCCTGTGGGGGCTGGGCAAGAGGATGGGCGAGTTAAGAGGAGAGAGAACAGAGCCTGGCCAGTGCGGGGCCAGCGGGAAGCCAGCCCCTCTGTGCAGACCCTGACTCGGAGCTGGGTGTGGGGCGAGGAGTGGGAATGCGGCACTGCCCGGGGGGACTTGTTTCTGCACAACCCCTCAAAGCCCCCAGGCAGCCCGTCAGGACCCCAGCCTATGTCTGGAAGACGCGGCTCTGGTTTGGGTGTGCCCCTCTCCCTGCAAGACACAGTCCTGTGAGCCCAGGCACCATGCCAATGCTCTCGGACTTCTTGAGGCGGGGGAGACGTGCTTCCCTTGTTAGCCTCTCCTCGGTGCTTCCCCAGCTCAGGCCCCACCCCCCCCGAGGGCAAGACCTACCAGGAGCACAGTCCGGGCATTCAGGAGTATGGAGAGTCCACAGAGGTGAGAAGGGAAGGAAAAAAGGATGTAAGAGAAAATCCTACAGCTCAGACCAGCCCCTGAAGTCACAAGCACCTGGTGAGAGCAGGCTGGGCTACATCCAGATCATTCTTGGAGTCTTGCCTCCCCCGCCCTCGACTGTATACTGCAGGCTTCCTTTGGGCACGCGCATGCGCGCGCGCGCGCACACACACACACACACACACACACACACACACTCATACAGGCAGGAATATACGAGCACGCACAAGCCCTCAAAGGCTTAAATCTCTGGCTGACTTCTTGAAATCAAGCCCTTCCTTTCACCCTCCATATTGATTCCTTGAGCAAGAGATTTCCCCTCATCCCTCCCACAACAAATGAGGGCAAAAGTGAAGCACACAGGGGCCTTTGCAAACTCAAAAGGAGAAACAAGAGTTTATCAAAGGACCTTTCCGGGCCAATCAACGTCAAAAAACAGGGGTAAATAAGCCCATTTATTATGTGAGAGATGGATTCCACTTGGCCCTGTCTTGGTGCCTCGTGACCATTCTTTTACCTCATTCGGTCCCCCACCCATCCCTAGCAGAGGCCTCCAGCAAGACTTTGTCCTCTAGTTTCTTCCGGCAGGAAAACACAGGGTCTCTCCAATGGTGGTTTCTTGGCAGGCTGGGGTTTCTCTTTCCAACATTTTGTCCCATAGCCTCGTTGGGCATCAATATATTGTTCTCGTCCTCTGTGTTTTCAAGGAGGAGTCCGTGCTAACATGTGACTAAGCTCCCCCTTCCCACCAGCTGATGGGTAGACAATAGTTCACTCGAGATGTAGCCAATAGGCACGAAGGTGGGGGGCATGTGGAGTTCTAAGAAGGGGAGCTGTTTTGGCTGTAGAGCCCAGAAGTCTTTGCTTCACCTTCTAGAATCTGGAATGGCTGGCCTGGGCCCCTTTCCGTTCCTCCCACCCCTGCCTTGTCCTACCTGACCCCCTTTCATGTCCTTCATGTTCATGGCGTTCTTCATGCCTTTGCCTTTCTCCTTCTTGTTCTTCTTCTTCTTACAGCAGCACTTCTTGCAGATACAGAAGCAGCAGGTGAGAAGCAGGAGGCCCGCGACCACAGCAATGGCGATCAGTGCCCAGGGTGGTACTGCCCGCACAGAGAAGACCCCGAAGTCAGCCCCTGATCCCAGAGAAGACCCTGAAGTCACCCCCTGATCCCCGCACAGAGAAGACTGCCTTACAGCCCCTGATCCCAGAGCACTGGCTAGAAGGGGTGGAGACTATGAACTCCAATGCCCACACTCCACCTTTGTGAACCACACACTCACAAGTGATTGACATAGAAGTTGCTTATCCTTTTTGCGTGTCTTTTCATTAATACCCTCCTCTCTCCTTAGCCTACTACCCTTGTGGTATAGGTCCCTGAGAGACAGCAGCCAGGTGTATAGGAGGAAGAACATCAACTCTGGTTGTGGAGCTGTCTTCCCACTGGCTCTGTTGAGTTTTGACTCCTTTGATCTATGGAAAACTGGCTTATAGTGGAGAGAATGGGATGGTCCTTATTGGACCAAGTATAGGAAGAGCCCCTCCAACCCACTGCCTATGCCCAGTCTTGAGACGGCTGACCCAGAGCCATCAGGCCAAGCTCCTTTAGGACCTAGAAGGCTCAACTTGGCAGAACTTGCAGGCCCTGCGCTGCTCTCCGTGGTTCTGAAGCGCCATCTCCCACGGGTGGGGGCTGCTCCCCTTCATCTCTGGTGATCCTATATAGCCTTTGCCAAGAATTCAGAAAGCAATGGGAGATGAGGGGAGGTATTTTCTGTCTTCCACACTAACGTAGTTTCAGAATGTGACTGGAAAACCTCAATAATAACTTCCGTTTTGTGATTTTTCATCTTCCTTTGGTTTCAAATTTTGATAATTTTCTAAACTTTAAGAGTCTTTTTTTCCCCCCGGAAGACTGGGGCATATAAAACCCTTTTTCCCTTTATTAGTGCCAGACCACACTCTCCCCCATTCCTGAAGGGACTCCCCAAATAACCCATCCTGAAATCCAAACATGCAGCCAATCTTATCCCACTGGCATTCCCCACTCTTCCCCACCCTGCCCTGCCCACAAGGCCTTTCACTAACCCTAGCCTCACCCCGCCCTCTCAGCCCCCTGGGACACTCACAGGGGATCTTCTGGATCTCATTGAAGAATTTGTCCTTTATCGTGGCAAACATGTCCTCCTTACTCTCCCCAGCGCCCCCGCTCTCGGTAGAGTTGTCTAAGAGCCCAGTTGATATTGTAGCGGTGGTAGTGGCAGGAGCCACAATGGGTTCCTGGTTCCTCTTGAAGATGTTCCTCATGGTGGCAGAGGAGGTCACTGCAGATGAGAGGGGAACAGGAGCAGATGAATGTTCCAGGGGTCTGATTACAGAAAGCTCTACCCAAAGGACTGGAAAAATTCTTTCAAAAGTGAGACTAGGGATGCCTGGGTGGCTCAGTTGGTTAAGCAGCTGCCTTCGGCTCAGGTCATGATCCCAGCGTCCTGGGATCGAGTCCTACATCAGGCTCCTTGCTCATCAGGGAAACCGCTTCTCCCTCTGCCTCTGCCTGCCACTCTGTCTGCCTGTGCTCGCTCTCTCTCCCTCTCTCTCTCTGACAAATAAATAAATAAAATCTTAAAAAAAAAAAAGTGAGACTATTCAAATAATCCCTTTATAATTCAAAGATATTTCCTGTAATATTAACAACTATGGTAAAACAACAACAATAATAGTCATCATCAAGTTACGATGTCTGAGTCAGGCATGGTGCAAAGTATTTCCATGCATGACCTCGACTAATCCAAACAATTACCTAATTTTTTTTTAATAATTTTTGCTCTATTTATTTATTTGAGAGACAGAGAGTGAGAGAGAACACAAGCTGGGGGGAGGAGCAGAGGGAGAAGCAGTCTCTCTGCTGAGCAGGGAGCCCTATGTGGGACTCAATCCTGGGACTCCAGGATCATGACCCAATAGCCTAATGTTTGATTATTATTCCCTTTTAACAGATGTGGAAATGGAGGTCCGGAGAGGTCAGCCAGTTTTCCCAAGGTCACTTAGCTGGTAAGTTCTGAGACTGATGTATGAACCAGTTGGCCTGACTCCAAAGCCTGTAAACCTTATGGCTTTCGTATATCTCATTTAAATCTAAACATACAACTCTAGGAAGGAGGCAAGGTTATGCTATGGAAGACTTCTTCTTGAGCCTGTCTTCTCCTTAACTTCTTCCATGACCTCGTTCTGCCTAGATTCCTGCCGGTTCCTATCAAATTCCTGCTGTCACCATCCCTGCCCTCAGTCTACATCAGCATCTCTAGAAAACAGAGGACAAGAGACTGAAAGAGAAGCTTCCCATAATTTTACCACCCAGAGATAACTCACATTTACATTGTGCAGCATTTTTAAGTTTTTCTGGGTGTGTTTGACTTGATGAGACCATACTACGTGTAATTCAGCATTTTGCTTTTTTAATTTTTATTTTTTTCATGACCCTGACTTTTTAAAAGATTTTTATTTATTTATTTATTTGACAGAGAGAGAGAGAGAGAGAGAGATCACAAGTAGGCAGAGAGGCAGGCAGAGAGAAAGGGGGAAGCAGGCCCCCCGCTGAGTAGAGAGCCCAATGTGGGGCTCAATCCCAGGACCCTGAGATCATGACCTGAGCTCAAGACAGAGGCTTAACCCACTTAGCCACCCAGGCGCCCCATTTTGCTTTTTTTTTTTTAAGATTTTATTTATTTATTTGAGAGAGAGAGAGACAATGAGAGAGAGCACGAGCGAGGAGAAGGTCAGAGAGAGAAGCAGACTCCCCATGGAGCTGGGAGCCCGATGCGGGACTCGATCCCAGGACTCCAGGATCATGACCTGAGCCGAAGGCAGTCGTCCAACCAACTGAGCCACCTAGGCGTCCCCCATTTTGCTTTTTTTAAATATATAATTTTATCATAAGCCTTTTCTCTATCTTTTTAAAAAAAGATTTATTTATTTATCTTAGAAAAAGAGCATGTGCACAGGTGAGTGGGGGAAGCGGCAGAGAGAGAGAGAAGCGAACTCCCCACTGAACTCAGAGCCTGATGTGAAGCTCGATCCCAGGACCCTGAGATCGAGACCTGAGCCAAAATGAAGAGTTATTAGATGTTTAACAGACTGAGACACTCAGGAGCCCCCAACCGTTTCTCTTGTCATTAACATCTTCCTTTATTATTAAATAACTAGACGGCACCCCATTCCGTGGAAGTCTTGTATTTGCTTAACCATTGCACTATTAGACATTTAGACGGTTTCCAAGTTTTTGCTGGTAAAAATATTACTCTGGTGGCATTCGTTTAAGGCAGAGGAGTGACCTGCTCTGTTAAAAGTGGGGCTTTGGGAAGACAGCTCTACAGGCACTGGAGGAAGTGAGGCTGGGGCTGAGGGCCAGCAGAGGGCTAGTTCCACAGACCAGACAGAGACGACGTGGATCCAGACCAGAGTAGGAACACAGGGGATGCACTAGAGAGGACAAATATGAGAACCATTCATTCATTCATTCTAAGTGAAAATAAAAGTGTAATTCTGAGAAATGCCACAAAGGAGTGATACTTGGTGGTATGAGTTTATAATGGGGTACATCTGACCAAATCTAGGAGAGAAAAAATGCTTTCCCAAGGAACTGACCAAGACCTGAGGATAGTGGGAAATATCCAAGTGAGGAGGAGAAAAAGGAGAAGCCTGAACAGACAGGGCAGCATGTGCAAAGGCCCGGAGGCAGGAAGCAGTGTGCTGAGTGCAGAACCTGAAGGAAAATCAGAGTGGAGGGAGCCTGAGTCAAGATGGAGCTGGAAGAGCAGGCCGGGGAGACCCAGGCACAGACCCTCATAGGCCACAGCAAAGACTTTGTCTTCACCAAAAGAGTAATGGGAAGCTGTCAGAGGGTTATAAGGATGCAGATAATGTGTACAAAAATACATTTTGAAAACTGCACTTTGGCGCCAGTGAGTAAAAGCCTAGAAGGCAACCTGACTCCAGAGGGAAGGGGAAAGAATTTAAAACAGCCAATAATGGATGTCATGTCATTCCCAAGTTCCCATGAAAGATTCTCCTGTTCTTGGGCAATCCCCACAGGGGAATGACAACAGCGGCTTGGAGGTTACGTGGGGGCTGTTAATAAGGCCGCAGCACAGAGCAGTGGCTTCTCCAGGGCCCGGAGCCTGGAATGCCCTTTTAAATCCACTTCTGGCCAAAAAGCATGAGAACAAAACTGCCCAGCTAAGCAAGGGAATAATGGAGATGCTGGAGAAGATGGCTCTTGACACAAGGCAGGGGCAGGGGCAGGGGCAGGAGCGCGGAGATGGATGGGGTGGATTCAGGGCCCACCTGCTCAGCTACGCATCTAGAAAGTGCTACTTTCTAGATGCATCACTTTCTAGAGTTATCCTGAGCTCCTCACCTGCCGTCACCCCCAGAGGGGGTGTGCAAACTCGTCAGCTCCACTCGCAGTGATTTCCAAGTCCGGCCACTTTCCACCTCTCCACCTGGAGTCCCACGGTAGCCACCTGTCTGGAAGCTTCCCGCTCTCCTCTGCTCAGTCGAATCATGAGGCAGCCAGCCATGTGTTTGAAAACCCTCCAATGGCCTCTCATCACACTTAGATAAAATCTCTGCTTGGCCTGGCCTCTGGCCCCTGCTGGCTCCCTGGAGCATTTCCTAACTCCCCTGCTCTCAGCCCCTCAGTTCCTGCCCCAGTGGTCTTCTGGCTGCAGGTCACAGGCTCACCAACCCGACTCACAACTTTCACACTTACTTTCCCCCAGCCTAGCCTGCCTTTCCTCCAGAAAGCTCCTTGACCTCCCTGAGGCACCATCACCCCCTCCTGTCTTCATCTCCCAGAGTGGTCCAGCACGCCAATAACTTTCTCCCTAATTCCCTACATCTCCTCCCCTTCTCTGCCTTTTCAACGCCCGCCAGGCTAAACACCACCTGGAGAAATCCCCTCCCCCGGGAGGTCTGCGTGTTTGTGTGCCCCCCTCCAAACTCCTATGTTGAGATGTCAAGCTCAACATCATGACGTTAGGAGGCAGGGTCTGGGAGGCATTTAGGTGATTGGGTGGAGCCTCTGGGATGGGGTTAGGGTGGGAGAAGCAGAGGCCAGAGCTAGCCGGCTCCTTTCGCCATGTGGGGAGCCAGACATCTGCAGTCTGCACCCTGCAGGAGAGCCATCACCGGCACCCAGCGGTGCTGGAACCCCAATCTCAGACGTCCCAGCCTTCAGAGCTGTGAAAAAGACAGTTCTGTCACGGATAAGCCTCCTGGTTTATGGTATTTTGTATGGCAATCGGAGCTAAGACCCGCACTATCAACGTCGTCCTCTCTGCTGCCCCCCAGACCACCGAGCACCGCGGGTGAGCAGCCCACATGAAGGCAGCTGGGTGCCCCCCGGATGCTCAACATGGAAACCTTTGCATACACGCCCCATCAACTCACTCCGCCTCCCTTCTCAATTGACATGGCCACGTGACCCTTCTATTTCCATGGCCCCAACAGCTGGCCCATTATTATTAAGCCATTGAAAGAAATCTGAGAATGCCCCACCAGAGGCCAAGCCACCCACCCTCTCCTCATGACAGCCTGTTTCAGCTGAGTACTTTCCTCCTATGGAAGACCAGGCCCTCCATCTCGGTCGGAGGCGACCCCTCTGACCCCAGGACACCGTCTTGATCTGTGGTCTTCCTTAGCCTGACCTTTCCTGCTCAACCAGTTCGTTCAGGTCTAGTTGCTTCATAGCCTACCGGGACTGGTCACCAGGTCTCCTAAAGCCTGCCCAATCCTACTTTCCTCTGGACCATGCAACCTCTTCAATGGTAAAAGATACACTAGTAAGAAAAGTTATTTGTAGGCTCAGGAATTATTTTAGAACAGTGGATGTTGTCATTTGAGCCACCACTGTATTGGTAGCAGCTGGCAGTTGGTGAGGGATACAAAACAAATACAAAGTGCAAATAACAGAAACAAACAAGACAAAACAAAAATGGAAACAGGGCAAGGCCAGGGATAAGAAAAGTTCCCTCTCTGGGGCGCCTGGGTGGCTCGGTCAGTTAAGCATTCGACTCTTGATTTCTGCTAAGGTCATGATCTGAGGGTTGTGAGACGAAGCCCTGTGTCAGGCCCCGCTGGAGAGTCTGTCCCTCCACTTACCCCCCTGCTTACTTGCTCGCTCTCTCTCAATCATAAGTGAATAAATCAGGAAAGAAAGAAAGAGAGAGAGAGAGAAAGAAGAAAGAGAAAGAAAGGGAGAAAAAGAGAAAGAAAGAAAGAGGAAGGAAGGAAGGTAGGAAGGAAGGAAGGAGAAGAAGAGAAA